CCCCCCCCCCCCCCCCCCCCCCTTTTTTTTTTTTTCGCACATATGTAAAACTGGGGGTTTAAAAAAAAAAAAAAAAAAAAAAAGAAAAAAAAAAAAAAAGAGAGAGAGAGAGAGAGGCAAGGCAGCCCGATCCAGGGATTCGGAGGCATCCCGCTAGCGATCAGCTGACGCGCCGAGCCGAGCTGCAATGTGTTGCTTATTCATTTTGTACGGTGGGAGCTGCCGGGAATAGCAGAGAGCTGAACTATGCCTCTCCTACAGCCGCGCTTGTGCAGACAGAGGGGTGAGAGAGAGGCAGCCGCCGCGGGAAGAGCACAGCCGGACTTTCTCCTTGTTTTTATCCATTTCTGCAGGATCATGTATTTATAAGGGATGAGGTGGGCCACAGGGATCGCAGGCCTGAGGTGCGGCCTACCCAGTCAGTGCAGAATCAGGCCCTCCACTACCGGAACCGAGAGCGCTTTGCCACAATCAAATCAGCATCTTTGGTAAGAGCCCCCCCACCCCATCCCACCCCACCCCAGCTCCGAGCCCCCATCGCCTTCCTCTCCTCCCTGTGCTGTTGGTGGTGTTGGCATAGCAACTGGATATTGCACTGAAAGAGATTTTTACCTCTGTGTGTGTGTGTGTGTGTGAGAGAGAGAGAGAGATGTAAATGTGGAATATATTTAATTTCTCTGTGCATTTCCACTGTATGCGAGATAACCCACCTTCCTGGGTGAAGTTAATATCATTTCATCCCTCCTCCCCCCCATTTCCCACCTATCCCTTTTGTTAATATATTTATTTGCATGTGCTTAAAGTGTGTTATGAGCTGTGTGAGAGGTGCTGAAACGCTGTGGAGGTGCAGATGCAGATGGGGTTTGGGAACAATAAGATCCCCGCTGCCCGCCTGAGCCGCTGCCTGTTTTTTCATTCATTCATTTATTTCAAGCAACTGTACCGTGACTGCATTTTCCAGCTTGATCCCTCGGAAGGATTGCTGGGCTGCGATAAGGGAGAGAGAGGGCTTACAGTGGGCTGTGGGCTTACAAAGGGGAGGGGGATGGGATGAATCCATCAAGATTTGTACTATTGCAAATGTGATTGCTGTGGATGCCTTTGTAGTAGGGAAAGGGGTGTGTGCCGGAAGAGTTAGTTGTGTGCCGCCTCCCCCACCTCGGGCTGCGGTCGGGAAACAGCCTTTTCGGGGGGAAGCACCGAAAAAATGGCCCTTCAGAGCTAAAATGAATGTCATATTAAATATTTCAGCCCGATGGTATTAGAGGTCAGATGGACGGGGAGCGTTAGAAAGTACCCACGGTCTGGCCATGGCACTTGCTCAGTGCTATGACATCATCCTGGACCAACCCCGAAATTACACCAGCGAGCCCTCCCCTTCCCGCTTCACCCTCCCTCCACCGTGGGGGTTCTCCTTCCATACCACCATTTCTTGATCCCCCAAATCCCTTCCCATTTCTGCCTGCAAAAGACACAGTGTGTGTGCGTGTGTGTGTGTGAGTGTGACCACAGCAAAAGGTTGTGAGGGGAGGGGAAAAAGCAGCAGCAGTGCCAGCAGCCAAAATTTTCCTGTGTGATTGTTGCTGCTGCTGCTGCTGTTAAAATCTAAAATGATGCTGTGGCATTCCTGGGAGCGTCCAAGTCCCATCCTTTGCAGGTGTGCTTTGGGGTTCCTGTACCCAGAGTGCTCCCCAGGCCGGTGTCCCCTGCTCCCCTTTCCCTCCCTGCTCCCCCCCCAGTTTAAAGAGTGACCTAGAAATGTGTGTGTTAAAGGACTTCATGCAGCACACCTGACACAGGCAATGCTTCCTGGTCTCCTGGAGACCCTCTGCCCTGGGAATTTTTCCCTTTTGTGTGTGTGTGTTTGCACCCAGGGTAGTGCCAGCACTACTGCCTGCACTGAGCAGATAAAAGTAGGACCCAGTTAGGTTGGCTGGAGGGAAGAAATGATGAATGACTCAAGTATCATACTCCAAACATACATACAATTTCATTGATAAATTGATATGTGTGTTGAATATATTCATGTTCTTTTACTCCCTGTGGAAAGCTGCTGCACCTTCTGTCCTGCCTGAGCAGCAGAGTCCATAACTCCTGTCTTCCTTGAATTTGTCACCCCCTGGGGCTACTTGGGTGGCTTGGAGGGATTGCATGACCAGGTCCCTTTGGGAATTAATGGAAGTATGGGCTGTGAGGTATTGCCAGACCTCTGGGGAAGACAGCTCATGTCACAAGGTCACTCCTAAATCCCATGGCAGCCTCCTGTGGGGCTGGGACTGTGTCTGCCTTAATTCCTTGGTCACTTGGATTTGCTAAATCTCTCTGCTTTGGTGACCAGGTGCTGATAAAGATAAAATCAATCCTGGGTGGGGAAGGTGGTTGGCTTTCTGGAAAACTTCTCTTTTTTGGGTTTTCTGTGGAACATGCTCTGAGAGGGACCGTTTCTGGGCTCACGGGGGGAGAGCTTTGGGTGCACACCTCAGGTGGGCAGTACCTGCACAGCACAGTGTCTTTGGGGGAGTGGGAATCACACTCATTAGCTCCTAAATTGACCAGCAGGTCTTTGGAAAAGCACATGGAATTATGAGTCTTGCAAAAGCTCTCTTGTCCCCACCATACACACACACATGTATCCCCTTCCAAGTGTAGAGGGAAGTTCCCAACCTTGGTACTCCAGGAAGTGTTGGTGTGTCCTTAGCTTCTGGGGTTACATGGTTGGGGGAGAAGTTTCCCTGCGTTTACCACAGAAATATTCCACTGTGATGAGCTTTCCCTTTAATAATCTTGCATTCCCACCTCTTCATGTTCCAAAATGGAAATCCAGAGGGAGGGAAAAACCCCCAAGTTTAAACCTATTGCACAGAACCTGGGTGCCAGTGCCTGTGTCTGAGGTGCCCACGTGGTGTCAGAACACTTTCCTGTCGCTGTGGATTCGGTCACCACTCAGTGCCTGGGTGATGTCAGTGGGCAGTGATGCCAAAAGCTGCTGCTCCTCTGGCCGAGGGAAAACTTCTTCCAGCCTTTCTGTCTCCTGCTGAACTATCTATGGAGAGGGCAGGGTCAGTCATGGAGCTGAGAGTGACCAAAAGGTGTCTGGAATTTACAGCGCGGATCAGAAATTCAGACTTTATTCACCTCTCCGTGTTAATTTACTCTTTCTATGGCATCTGGAAAAGATTATTCCTGTGTGAATGGATGTCCAAGATCCCACAGTGTTTTAAAAGCAAGCTTTGATGGTTCCCTACATCCTTGTGGCTGCCCATCAGTGGGTTTCTCAGCAGCTGGGAACACCTTCCCGGGCACAGGAAGGTTGTGCACTTGGGAGCATCAGGTGGCTTGTATTGCAGAGAATCAGAAAATGGGAGTTCTGACCCCAAATTCAATAGTATGGGGTGGTATTTGGGTGTAAAAACTTCTTTTTATGGGATTTGCTGAACACCACCCTCCAACATGAAAGCAGGGCAGTGGGATAGAAGAAAAGCACCAAGTCTGGGGGCTGTTCACTCCACAGCTGTTCCTGGTGGTGCAGTCCAGGGTCTGGGGCCTCAATTCCTTGTTATTCAGCCTTAGATCAGGATACTGCAGATGGAGGGAAGACTGGCATTCCTGAAAGGAAGCTGGATCTATTTCCAAAAACAAGCTGAAGCAGTTTCAGCGAGTGCAGGGGTCACAGGAGAACTCACATTAGGCAGCTGAACACTCCAGATGACCCAGTGATCTTCAGAGTGATTCCCCTGCCTTGTTGCTCTGCAGAAGCATCATGTGAATCAGAAGCAAGCTGGACAGTCTTCCAGAGAAAACAGTGGAAAGAACTATCCCCAAAGAAACAGGCTGTGAATGTACCTTTCTGGTCTTTCAGGAGTGCCTTGATATTACTCAGGTTAAATTAAAAAATGAGCAAATGTGGGTTAGAAAATTGAAGGAGCTTAACTTTGGTCATAATTCAATCATCGATTTTAATAGTCATTTTTTTCCTAGATCACTTTTCTCTTTAATCATTTTTTGTGGTAACAGAAACCATCACTCACATGGAACAGTGGTGGAAAATACCCTGCATATTTCTGCTGTTGCAGGGAAAGTTGCCATGTGAAATGGAGATCAGGTACCTACCACATCTCCATATTCTTTTGCAGACTATCAATGATCCATAAATTAAAAGTTACAACTAGAAATCTAAGCCTTGAAGCTCAGCAAGCTTTTGTTTGAAAAGAAGGGCAGAGGTTCTGCATGGTGATAAGACTACACATATAGTTATTTTCAAGTGAAAGTTGTTTTTTAAATGTGTTCAGAGATGCACTGATCTGCACTTCTGGGTACCTTTCAAGCTTGACCCCTTAAATCCCCACTTCCTCATGCATCTCCTCAAAAGCTGCTTTTACAGTTCTCAAATTAAGTGATCAAATAGTTAAAGCTTCATGAAGTCATCATAGAATCACAGGATGGTTTGGGTTGGGAGGGACCTTCAAGCTCATCTCATTCCACCCCCTGCCATGGGCAGGGACACCTCCCACTAGCCCAGGTTGCTCCAAGCCCTGTCCAGCCTGGCCTTGGACACTTCCAGGGATCCAGGGGCAGCCACAGCTTCTCTGGGCAACCTGTGCCAGGGCCTCCCCACCCTCCCAGGGAAGGATTTCTTCCTGACATCTATGACATCTGATTTCCTAGAAAGATCAGGCAGTGTGGACACTGTTTCAAAGGCCTTGGCATTCTCTTTGAAATCTAAATGCCAGCAAAAGAAGGTTGTGAGCTCCAGGATCTGCAGAGCCAAATGTCCACATCCACGTGAGCAGGATTCCCTGGATGTAGCCAGGACAGTGACACCAGGGCAGCCTGGCTCCCAAACCAGGTGCCTTCACATGAAGCTGTTCCCTTGCACCCTTTTCTGCTGAAGCAATGACTTGTTATTCCAGAGGGTTGAGTTTCTCCAAATGGACTCATCAGGCTGCTGCCTTGGTAGACCTTTGCTCTAAAATTTCCGAACTTGTTCTTTCTCATCTCTGAGTTCTTCTCTTGCTCTGAGAAGCTGCTGGTGGAGTCTTGCTCAGTGCTCTGCTTCATCCAGCACAGAGGAGCTCAGTATTTTGGTTATCAGGAGGTGAGAATAACTGTCCTTTAGGAAAGGGTTTAGTGTCTTGGTTAAACAATGTAGAAAAAGAAACTCTGAACAGCTGCTGGTTTGGAGGAGAAGTTGTGAGCTCAACTCCCTTATGTAAAGCAAAAATCTTGGAGGGGTGAAAGAGAGAAAGTTTGGATTTTATGGCAAGTGAACTGCCTGTGGGAGTAGGTTGGAAAAGACATCTCTCTTCTCAGTTCTGTGTGTGCCAAAGATACAGAGAGATAAGAAACTGAGAAAATGTCATACCTTAATAAAAGCTGTTCTGGTTTGTACAGGTTTTTGGTTCTGCTGATGACCTGATTGATTATTGTGTGCTGCAGAGAGAGCTCCAGGAAACTGCAGCTTTCTGCTGTGAAGGATCCTGACATTTTCTGGTTATGTGCAGAACAGATTTGGCAGCAAGCAGTTCAGTTGTCATCTTTTTCCCCATCCTAGTCTACGGGGTTATGGCTGGGGGCTTCCTCATGAGGGGCAGCACCAACCTCTGCTCTCTGTGAGCAGGGACAGGACCCAGGGAACAGCTGGAGTTGTGTCAGAGCAGGGTCAGGTTGGATCTCAGGGAAAGGTTCTTCCCCCAGAGGCTGGTTGGGCACTGCCCAGGCTCCCCAGGGCAGGGGGCACAGCACCAAAGCTGCCAGAGCTCCAGGAGTGTTTGGACAACGCTCTCAGGGACAGGGTGGGATTGTTGGGGTGTCTCTGCAGGATCAGGGGTTGGATTTTCATGATCCTTCTGGGGCCCTTCCAGCTCAGGATATTCTGAATAGTTCATGGAATTCCAAGTGTCGTCGTCTAAGAACACCAGAAAGGTGATTACTGGAACATCCCCAAATTTCCTTTTTAAAATGGTTGCTGGAGCTGTTCATTCATTAGGGGCTTAATCTTTAAAGCCATAATCCTTTATTCATTCATGCTTAGTCTGAAGGACTTCTCTGGTGCTGAACTGGGCATGTTCAGTAACTAATGTTCATTCCTTCCAAATCCATCCCTCCCTGAGATCACCATGTGCAGACTTTGTCTTCGAAGTCAGAGTCCTGAAGAGCACTGGGCTTGACTGGAGATTATGGTGATGAATTAAGTCCTTATCATGTGCACCTGAATGCAGGCATTAAATCTATGAGATGACCACCAAGTCTGCTCTTCTTCTCCTCTCTCATCTTCAGGAATGGAAAGCCACGTTTTGTTTTCTTCAGACTTTTTAATGTCTCATCTTCTGAAAGGCCTTATCAGCTAAGCTTGTAATTAGGAATTGCATCCTATTGTTAGGGATAAATATCCCAGACTGAATGGGAAATCTTTCCAAGATGGAATTCTTGTCATGATAAAGCTGAGTAAAACTGGAAATGGGGTGAAAAAAAAAAAAAAGGATAACAGTTAATGATTTTTGCTGTAAATAAAACAAGTGCATGTTCTACATCTCATTAGAGATCAGGCCAAAGGGGACACTGGTGAAGTTCTTAGAGGGTTCCTAGATCCATTTTTCTCTTCTGCTCTTGCTGTTGGCTTTGTTCTGCCAACTCCTGGGAACGGAGTGTGCCGTGCAGAACGTCCCACTGCTCACAAAAGGGCTGGGCCTCAAAAATAGCACATCCAGGAAGATCTTGTGCTGCTGCGTGGAGGTTCCCGTGTCTCTGCAAGTGCCTGACCAAGTCTGTTCTCCCCAAGCTGGATGTCATTCGACATGGTAAATGGCATGTGTGAAGTGTGGGGGGGTTTGCCTGTCTTACCTGGCAT